TTTTTCACTGCTTTTGACTGCGGCATGCTGCATGATGACGACGACATTAAGTGCCCTCTGCCATTGAGTAAGAAAGGTGAGTATTTAATTTGGTTAGCATTGAATCATGTTTTTATTCAAATTTCCCTCTCTGATCATTTTATCTCATTTTGAATTTACTTAATTATTAGTTTACTGTATTCATTATCAGTATATTATTATTCTTCATTTTAAAGAGTAAATGAATATGATATTACTTTAACACACTTGCTAATAAAGTAATTTATCTTAATGTTAGAACTAAAATTATGTTAGGTTTAACTGGCCATATATTTGAAGAAGTATTGTACTGTACTCTCATTGAGCGTTACTCTTGACATAGATCGTTGAATTGGACGCCGTTGATTTGACACTAAATACACTTATCTAAAGAATCTTCTTTTCATTTCAGAATGGTTGTATCTAAAGGCAGTTTGTGATACCAGATTTTACTTGCCGGTAGGTGTAATTTGTTGCGCAAACTTAAGTTTTTAAATTAATCAATAGCATTTACTTTATATTTTGTAAAATGAGTTGAATTCTGTTGTATGGTGTTTAGTGAATGCATGGCCAGATATATTGAGCTGATTTGGTACGATTTTAACTCTGTGGTTCTAAAGTATATGACTTGACGTTTGCATTTAAGTACAAACTATAATAGTCTTTAAGTGTCGTTGTTGGGTATACAACTGAATGGTTAAGTTTTGAATGTGGGGGTGTGGATGCTTACTAAATACAGTATGACTTCTTACTAAAGACAATTGGAATGCACCATAGTATGACGTAAATCCATGGGGACAAATCAACAACAACGAAAGAGTCACATTTAGGTTATACACCACAGTATGACTTTAATGTGACTATGAAGCCAAAACAAACACCGGTGTGACACCGAAGCCAAAAACCCATTTACACTTAAAAATGAAACTGCGAGATGATCTGGGGTCACACCCATTTACACTTGCCAGCGAACACCGGTTGGACACTGGTGTTGAACGCTGCCCTCTATGGACATTCTTGAGGAAAACTAGCTCATAAATCTGCAATTCAAGTTTAGCATGCCGGGGTAAAACATTTTGTTTTATTTGTACACTAAAAACCGAATTAATTTCATAAATACAATCATAAGCAATAAAATATAACTTACATTATGTGTAATGATTAAAATCCCGGTTTGTGAAAGGCGGGACTGTTTACATTGTGTGTTTCGATATCAAAGGGACTATCCCTGAGAAGCTTCTCCTGAAACACTCAGCTTCGTTGAACTCGGGTCCAGCATACCGGTGTCGTTGACGTTTACCCATACACTAACACCAACTCCGGTGTTCGAAATCCGGTGTATCGACAACGGAGAAGTAAAAGCGGGTTTATTCTGGAGTCCAGCTGAAAGTGTAAAATTGGTATTGTTATTGAACTTATTACCAGCAAAATAGTATAGTAAAATAAATAAATTAGGAATAAATCGCAATAGATAACTTTTATAATAGGTAAACTTAGAAAATAGTAGGTTACCAATACTTGAAATCTAGTAACGTTGACATTTACTTTTGATGTTGACGTCTTTTAGTGAATTTGTTAAACTGTTTTCTGGATGAGGCTATAATCTTACATTTGAAAGGTTAGAAATGCAGCCCAAAGTAACAAATGCAAGTCACCCTAACTCATTCCGCGGTACTTGACCATTCTGACTCGGAGATGTAAAATAGTTTAAGTAGATAATCTTTTTTCTAAAAGCGAAAACAAAAGATACCGACATTTTTGCATACGTTATACTATTATTAAAGTAAAGCATGCTAAGACTGGATTAATTTGAATGCTTTGTGTGTATTTAGTAATTGCAATTTCTCATTTTTTAATACTACTGTATAAGGAAATATCGCCCGTATTCTTAAAACGAACTTTAGTCGAACTTCGAACTAGAACTTCATTTAGTCTCAATTTGCATATACAAACAACGTAGTCGAAGTTTTAACCACGACTAAATCACACCCATGTTGTAGTTCAGCTGAAGACGGCTGGCAAGCAACAACTTTCAAACTAACCAATGAAAAGAGCTAATTTTAATAGCAGACGAAAGTTTAGAGATCTGGTAACGCGGGTGAATATTAAACTGCCGTCTGTCTTTCAAAAAATTATTTCCTCATACTTCATAATAGACCATAATTCGCCTAAATAATATTCTATAATAATAACTATATTAGTCGTTAACATCCAACGATAGAGAATTTGAACTGTAACTGAAAAATTGCTTTCTTTGGAAAACTACTAGAGTTGAGGTCGAGCGAGGGCGGCGCCATCTTTGTTGCTGTTACGGTGAAGATACTTGACCGCAAAGCAAAGGGATTTCGTGCAAATCATGAACTTTCGCATGTGGCTAGAAAAACATGTAAATTTCGCCTTTTGGAAGCTAAACTTAATGTTCCTTTTTTTTAACACGTTGGAGATACATCAGACCTATAATTTATACAATCGTTTTTATTCATTTCACTTTATCGTAAGTTACAAAAAGCATGTTTTTAGTGAGGTAAATATTTCAAGTCGGAGATTTAGGCTCGCCCTAGGCTGACTTAAAAAACGGCCTGTGGAGGTATCATTTTAGTCGAGGTTCTCTTTATTTAGTCGTAGTGCTATTCCGAGTTCGTTTTAAGAATACGAAATGACGTAATTTTGAGGTTTTAGCTCGAACTATGACTAAAGTTCGTTTTAAGAATACCGGGGTATATGTCTACATTTTAAAAAGTGATTATGAATTTGTTTCCTCAACAAAATACAATTGTTTTCTCTGATTTTATTTTTATGACAAATGATTGGTAGATACTAGTTTTCAAATGATATTGCAAAGTATAGAGCATATATAATTATGTGACCGGCTCTGTCAAAACCCTCCTTTTGTTGCAATTTTTTTAATTTCGCACAAGCACAAAAATGTTCGAGAATCAGAATTTTTAACATTTTCAGGTCCTTGCATTTTATAAAAGAAGATAATTATACTGAAGAATATATCTGCAAAATATAAATAAATAAGTATAATTTAAAAGTACATAGATTTTTTTTACTTAACATGTAGAAAGAATTGTTTAAGGGCGGGTTATATATAACAGCACTAAAAAAACAATAAGAAAACGCTTTCAACATGTAAACAAAATAAACACATTGTAAACAAAACAATTGAAATTTTAATTAAAGTAAAACCTAAAATACCCAGAAGATATTGATATTTTTAGCGAATTATTCTTTACAAGTATATATTATGCAGTCACTGTTAATTAAAGTGTTTTTTTAATCAAATATTTACGTCTTTTTGTCGTCAGAAATTTTAATTATATATCCCGAATCTCACAATTTATCGTCGGTGTCCAGGTAGATGAGGAAATATGTTGGCTATGGGCCGCACACTATGAAAAGTTGTTCAATTGTGTTGAAAATAATGAGCAAGTAGTCATTGATAGAAATTGCACTTCCGATTATAATTCTTCTCATGTTAACCCTGAGATTATAATTAATTTTATTACTAAGCTTCCTACTGGTAAAGCCTCTGGTCTGGACAAGCTCTCGCGTGAGCATTTGAAATTTTCTGGTGATAGAATTGCGGTACTACTTAGCTGAAGTTTTAACTCTATTCTTATTCATGGACAAGTTGCCAGTGACCTTGTTAAAATTGTACTTATACCAATTGCCAAATCAAAGACCGGTAACGTTACCAGCAAAGATAATTATCGACCAATTGACTTTGTTTCTGTTGCCCTTGAACATTGTTTAATGTATTTTAGTAAAGCCATGGACCTATTAATAAGATAATAATAATACTTATTAATAGGTCCATGGTAAAGCACTCTTGACTCTAGTGATACTCAATTTGCATTTATGTAAAATCTCCTACTGATACGCATTTTTATTTTTAAGCAAGTTGTTGATTACTACAATAGAAATGAAAGCCCAGTTTACTGTTGTTTCTTAGATGCCAGTAAGGCATTTGATCGTGACAATCATAATGTTCTCTTTAGTAACATTATCAAAGCGGGTACATCTATTGTTGTTGTTAAACTACTGTCATGGTACAATGTAGAGATTTATTGTTGAATGGGGTAATTGTCTCTCACATGAATTACCAGTAACTAACGGAGCGAGACAAGGTGGTCTAATGTCACCTTTACTGTATAATTTTTACATCAATGTATTTAACGTTACATTGAGCAATAATTGAGTTGGCTGTGAACTAAAAAATGTTAGGTTTAATAATCTAAGTTACGCTGATGATTTTTTTTTTGTTGCTTTCCCCATCGGCAAGTGAGTTGCAGGAACTTGTCAGAATCTGTAAAAATTATGCACTTGATCATGATATTACTTTTAATTCTACGAAGTCAGTATGTATACTTTTTTGTCCCCCTGTTAGAATATTAACAGGAGAACCTAAGACTTTTCTTTTTAACAATAAGTTACAATACGTAAATTATGTGAGATATCTAGGACACATACTCTCGTCAGATACCACTGATGATCTTGATATTCAGCGCCTGTATAGGGCTCTATGTGTAAGAGGCAACACACTTAGTAAAAAGTTTTCTTTTTGCTCTGAAAATTGAGACTATTAAGATCTTATTGTAGGCATGTATAACAATAATTGTTCTGCTCTCTGTGCCAATCATAAGAAAACAAACCATAGATCCCTACAAGTTTGTTATAATAACTCGCTCAAAATGTTGTTAAAGTTGCCAAGATATTGTAGCGCCAGTGCTATGTTCGTTAATTGTGGCATTCTGTCTTTTTTAGAATTTTTAATAAAGTTCAATTTTTAGTTTTCGTAAGCGTCAACTCTCCAGCAAAACATGGTTGTTTCCACATGATATTAAAATGTGCTGAGGTTTTCCAAATTGAATTGTTGGTTGACATGTCTGCTGTACACTTAGGCCTTGTCCTTTATTTCTAAGAGGTTCAAAATTTATTTGTGCGTTGTTCAATCAGTTTGATTGATCTTTTTTCTCTTGCCTTGTTTTGTTTTGTATTATATGGTTATTAATTGTCTGAAACAAAAGAAATGAATTGAATTGCATTGAATATATATATATATATATATATATATATATATACATATATATATATATAATGTGTGTGTGTGTGTGTGTGTGGGTGGGTGGGTGTGTGTGTGTGTATTTAAACAATATTTTGTGAGTGTGGTCCATCCAGCCAGAGCTGATCAATTAATATTAAGACATTGGTATAGTATAGTAAAACATTATATACTTTGGTTTAAAAATGCGTACTTTTATGTTGAATTACAATTTCTTAAAATGTTTTGTCCGGTTTTTTTTTTTTCTTTTTTTTTACATCTACATTAATGCTGTGTAAGTCTTCTTAGACTAAACGATCTGAACAATTTTCTTTACAGAGCGTAAGTGGTAAGGTAAACGTGAAGCTAACGAACTACAAAGCAGAAGAACTGATTTGCATTGAAGGCCAAATTCGTACATTCTAACTAACAAGTAGGGCCTGCCACGTCAGCCAGGTTAAACAAATCATGTCATGTTTACAGTTAGAAAACTCAAGTACCCCATGTAATCTTTTACCATGAAGAATTGCCTATTATGTATAGTACTTAGTAGCTACTTTTACGCGAATGTAGACATAAATGAATACATAGCAAATAAGATCGAATCTAGGACGAGATCATGGCTGATGTTTAATTATGTACTACTGTATACAGAAAGTATGATTTCGTCGCTGATATATATGGACAGCTTTTCTATCAATGGTGATACGATAAAGCAGGAACATTTTTTTTACTATAACGTACGTGAACAGTGAACATAACTGAAGAAGGATATAATATAAATATTAAAGAATAAATGAATATGTTCATGTTAATTTTGTGCTTGCTGAAGTATAATTTCTAAATATAGAGGGCTTGATTTACAATATTATAAAATTTAAAGAATAAACTACTGTTGCTGTTCAGACAATCTGTTATTTCACATTATAGCAACTGTCTATGATCTACAAGATACATCCGCTATTAAAATAATTGGGAAAAAATAAACATTTAGCACAAGTCCATGCGTGATAACAAATTATCACGAATTCAGGGGGAAAATCTACTTAAAATTAGAAGAAATTGGTTTTATTAAAAATATGAAAACGGTGACGAGCTTTCGTTATCGTTCCAGAATCAAATTGCCAAGAAAATCTCTCTTTTCCAACTAAGACAACTCAGCCAAACACGCACATAGATCATTGTCACAAATTTTTAATTATGTGACTGAAGCCCGGACTAACACCGGGGCTCCGCCCCTGGACCCCTGCGGAGGCCCTGGCGTTCCCCCTCCCCCCAGCCAACTGGTGTAGTAACACATTTCACGTCTCTCAGGTTTTTAACTATGTACACCACTAATAACAAGGTAGTAATTAGCATTTAGCACTCTTGTGATTTTGAAACTTTTCAGACACCATACTATAGTCACATGCCCCTTCATATGCAAATTATCTGAAATGCGCAAACGGACGCAAATTGATGAAAAACAGCGCATTTTAAGAAAAAACTAAGGATTTAAGTTATACATAATTCTGTTGTTCTATCTAACCCATCATTAGTATAAACAGAAAAGCAAAACAGAAAAACAGAAAAGCTTGGTGATTGAGTTGAAGGTTAAGATGTGGACTATTCCATATAATTTCTAGTAATTCTTTTATTACTAGTCTCTTCGTAATCTAATTTTACTGTTATCCTTGTCAATGACGTTGAAGCATTTAGTATTAGCTAAAGTTTTGGATTTTTTTTTTATTTAGATGTTTTTAAAATGTGTGAATTTGTGTCTTTTCCAAGATGTTCATCAATCCTAGTAAGCAAGTGCCCGGCTAGTATAGCCTCTTGGCATTTTCAGTTTCTGTCAATCAAATTACAAGCTGAGACTAATTAAAACACTTACTGCCACAATTTTTTTCGGTTTGTCGATATATTTTATAAAGTCGTTTTTTGATAAAATATTGTATTACCATGATTTACTATAACGTTGTTTTTGATTTATACCTTCAAGTTCATCGAATTTGATAGATTAATGCAAAATTAAGCAGTTTTGAGAAATCAGGTCTCAAAGTTTACGATTTTAACCATTTCACAAAGAGAAACCATCAACAAATCATAAAAAAATGTTGTTTTAACATTGTAAATTGGGAAAACAAATACATAGCATGATGTATAGCTATATGAAATTAGTTTAAAATAGATTTCAAAAATCTTGACCTACATTCGAACATGTTTTAGCAATTGAGTCACAGTTTTAAATACAAAGTGTGTGTTCATAAACATTAGTATTATTTCATTATTTAGATGCAATTCTAATGCAGCTAAAGATGAAATACAGAAATAAAGATAAACAAAGTATATATTACACAACTACAATATTATAAAGTTACTAGTATGAGAAGAGAAGGAAACCAAAAGAGAGGTAGCTTTTAAGTTTTAGGGCAAGGATTAGACCATCATCCTCCACTTCGAGGGATAGCAAAGGAGGAATACAGCTAAAACAGAATTGCAAAAAAATAGGTTTATAAAACAAAGACAAAATGAGACATCACTCAACTATAATACTACAAATAGGAAAATAATATACATATAAAACACTGAATTAAATTATATTTAAAAAAAATATTACAATTATTTTTAAGTTATAAAGTTGTTAAATTATCAAAATTAATAAATCTATAATTATATACAAAAGCAGATTAAAAATGATTCATTATTTGATGTATCTTATAGAATATTGTAATTTTTTAAAGCTAGTAGATGTTAACATTGGAAATAATGGACCAGACACACAATGTTAAGCAAGGATGTACTGTTTGCGGAAGAAAAAGTGTGATTCTTGAAGTATATTGGTCAGATAAAGGATTGGACTACTTTCAATTCTATTAATTTTAGAATTAAAATGTTTAGATTTATTTGATTTCCTGGGAGTCATTGTTGAGGTACCATTAGATATAGAAAACAACTTACAAAATCGAACGGATTTTGCATCTAAAAATTGATTTTTGACATTTCTTTTTCGGCAATCTTTCAATATTCGAGGTCAGGAAAACAGGTCTTAACTTATCGCATGTGGGAGAATACACTTTGGGCAATGGAACCACATTTGCACATTTCCATTGCTCAGGCGCGGACATTGCAATGAGAATTAGATTCATTTATAACATTAGATATAGGTATACTTAATTCGTATTCACATTCGCGCAACACCTTCTGGGGATGATGTCAATACCACTTGCATTATTAAGACGAATCCTCTTTAAAACGTCAAACACTTCCATGGGTGGCATAGGACTAAGTAAAGAAACCGGTAGTTTTTGAAAATTAATTATTCCTGTGATGGTGCATGCACAACATTTTTCGACGTATACCAGCGTATGGCTCATACGTGCCGTATTGGCGGGCCATAAGTTGTAGGTAATTAGTTTTCTCGATCGTTGACACACGTTCATACACGTTACTTTTGGCCCTGTCACACCTTGACGATTTAGCCAGCGTATGCCGACGTATGAAAAAAATTGGCGAACACGCTGGCGTACGTCGAATAAGTTATTGGTAAGTTTCGTATAAGTTAAGAGCACGCTGAAGGACTTTTCGAATTATGCCGGCGTATGGCTCGTACGTTCCGCATACGAGGGCCATACGTTGTAGGTAAGTTAAGCGATCGTTGACAAACGCTGACACACGTTACTTGTAAATAACTCGAAAGTCAAAACATATTTGTAACCTATGAGTAACGTGGTTCGAACTTATATGTAACTTGTAACGAACTTACTTATATTCACGTATGTAGACATTGTTGCAGACGACCACAAAACTTACTGAACGTGTTTCTAATCTACAGTTATCGTATAATGCCGTAGTGCCAGCGTTTAGGGAAATAGGTATTTTAAAATGGTGTGATGTCAATAAGCTGATGTTGATACTTCCACTTAAAAAATATATTGTCGAACGCAAACCAAATCAACCAAATGTATGAATATGTTTGTTATGCCAGGGAACAGTTAACTGTTCCCTAGTTATGCAAATGGCGTGTTTGCGTCAGGAGAAACGCATCGATGCTTCACCTACCTGAAGTTACAGTATTAAATGCTAAGTACAATTCCCAAAACACTTGCAAAAAAAAATTCACTAGTGATTCAGGTGGTTATCTAATCCGTCAGGTAAGGCAAATTTTGATTTGTATATTGCTTTGCTTTGGTTTGACAAACTTTTAATGAACTAGAAACTCCTCTTATGCTACGTAGTAGAAGCACAGCCTCCCCGCGGTGCATTTTTCTCCCGTATAAAATGTTGCAATCTTTAAATTATGAAAATTTACAAGCATATTGAATTGAATTGTGTTTAGATGAGTATTATGACTATGGAGCCCCTTCCCCCAAACGCTTTTCCCCCAGTCTCTTCCCAGCCCACTGGAAATCGTATAAGGAAAATGATTATGCTTTAAGTAATTAAAAATCACCTCAATCATCATTATATGCTTTATTTTTGTAGGTTTGGTTTTGTTTGGTTAAATCAGTTTAAATTTAACTGTTCACTGGTTAAATCAAGATGTAATATACAAGAGTCAATTGGCGTCGTTCCACTAGAAATGAAAACTACTTTTTAAATATTATTCATTTCGATATGATAGCTAGATATTTAAATGAGGTACCATTTTTTAGACATAGATTTCTTTTTAATATCTAACAAATTGGTGACTTTTGCACAGGCATGTGACATAAAAACAAAATATAGGTCAGACCAGGCTCCAGTAACTTTAAAACTAAAGTTTTAAAATATATCAAGAGGAAAAGGACTATGGAATTTCAACAACAAGAAATCTCTGGATGAAATTACATTTAACATAAACGACCAATTATTTTGAAACATTATTATGTGAATTAAGGGGAATGACAATATCATACAGCAGATGACTAATTAAGGAAAATAAAAAGGAGGCAAAACTGTGGGATAAAATGTAGTCTTTAGAACAATCCACTAAGGAGCTCTTAACATTAAAGTTGAATAAAGATGCTCAAATTTTAACAGATTAATATAATGCAGTGCAAGATAAGTTACAAAGATCTACAGAGAGAGAAAATTCTTTAAGATCAAAAGCGCTGTGGATTATTCAAATTAGGAAAAAATTATGTTAACAGAATTCATATTCATAATTCATAATTTTATTTCACTCAAAACATAATAATGATTAGGCAAAAAGGGAACATGTCCCTGTACAAGATGTCTACCAGAGAAACATTGATAAAAGTAAAATCATAATAATAATAATAATAATAATAATAATAATAATAATAACAATAACAACAACAATTATAACAACAATGCTGTGCATCGTTCCAACCAAAACTGACTAAATTTGGAGATGTCGAAATAAACCCTGGCCCACCACTACAAACAAACTCGAAGGTCTTTGGACAAAAAGCAAACAGACTGGTAAGCAACATATCTCTATGTATTACCAGAACATTAGAAGTCTAAAAAACAAAATGGATATTTTGCACTCAAGTATGCAGACATATATGTTAAACAATTTCTACGATGTAGTATCCTTCTCTGAGACTTGGTTGAAGGACTTTGTTCTTGATTCAGAAATTGCGGTCCCCGACTACAAACAATATAGACGTGATAGGCAGGACGGCAGACGTGGAGGAGGCGTTCTTATGTATATCTCAAACCGATTGAATAGTCGTAGACTATTTCATCTGGAAGATGATATTAACGAAATAATATAGGTTGAAGTGATTATATCTCGATCATCGAAATTACTTGTTGCTACTTACTATCGTCCACCAAATCTTACACGGGACTCTGTCGCACATTTTGTTGGAACCTTGGAGTCTTCCATGAGGTCCTATCCTGATCATAATCTCTTGATTGTGGGAGATTTCAATTTCTCGGACATACTTTGGTATCCTGATGGTACATATAAAGC